AAGCCTCTGAAACTTTTCCCAGTGACTAGAACTTTGTAGAGCCTCAAGGCATTAGTCCTGGGGACAAATTATCCCTGGATTGCTTGCAGATAGAGCCAGGTTGAGCCAGGAGCCCATGGGCGGTCCCCAGGCCTATGAACAAATGAGGAGTCATTGGGGTATATGGGGATTGGGGCTCTTGCAGGAATAAGGGACAGTTCTGTAATGTAACTGTAAAATATGAAATTAGCAAAGAAAATATAATCCTAATTTCTCACCAAGTGCATTCTTTGTCCTTGGGCAATTGTTATAAGACTCTTGGCTGCTAGTAGTATGTAAAACTTCTGACTTTCTGGCTTTCGAAGATTTTTATTGGTAGGCAAACAACTAGAATTCAATTAATGGAATGTTGAAGGTTCTCAGCCATGAAGCTTCTATGGATCTACTGAACTGTGATCTCCTTCAAGTTACTTCACCTGAAATGATGTTCGGTCAACAACCTAAAGTGATTGCTTTGAACTCACCAGCCAGAAGCAAAGAAATGTAATGAATCAAGGTTCTAGTTTTAGCTCTGTGACTCTTCGATCTCAGATTTCCAAAGACTCTTGTTCATCCATTCATCCCCTCATTCAATAAGTACCATGAAGCTCTTACTCTGAGACCAGAATCATGGAAGGCATTGATCGTGGACATCTCTCATGGCACAGGAAAATGGGCTGTGAAAAACTGAAGTAATGATGCCCCAGCTATTTTGATTCTTCAGCATGCCCAAGGCTGCCTTCTCCCTACCTCTATCACCAGCATATAACAACTGCTTTCATTTTTACAGTGCTCTCCATGTGCCATTTACTCTACTGGCCTAAACTCGTGGAGTTCTCACAATAGCCCTCCAAGGCATGGCTATTACTATGAGTCTCATTTCATATAAAAGCAAACTTAGCTCAGAAGCAGGGTTGCAGGATTGTACAACTCCAGGAGGTTCTACTCACATCTGATTCTATGAGTGTGCGTGCTCTGGAGCACAATTCCATACAACAGGAATGATGCCCCTGGTGTTGCGCAAACTTGTGGTCCTGGGGGGCATTCAGTAAGCAGAGCCCACATCAGTTTGACTTATACAGATCTTCTTACTGGCTCTCTCACACTGGTAGAGGGACATCCATGCATGAGAGGTAGTTAGGAAAGAACACAGTAAACTCCTCACGTCAATCATAAGATCATTCTAGAATCTTCCTTCCATGTGTCCCCCCCACACCTTTTTTTTCCATTCTCCACACAGCCCAAAGTGGTAGATTAAAATGGGGAGCTGGGGACAAAACCAGGGTTAATAAAGAAAATAAAGCAGAAGAGCAGAGTCTGTCCTTTTTCTTTTTTCTTCTCCACTTACAATCCTGCCTGTGGGTTTTCAGGCAAGTCATCCATTCATCCCATAGCAGCACCCTGAGGCATTCTTCTGGACCCCTCCATTCCAATAAGCATCTTCAGGCAATCCAAGGGTCCCCTTTACTCTGGGTTCTTGTGGTTTTGGATCAAGTAGTGTGGCTTAAGATCAAGATATCCAAATAACCACTTGACCAGATCCACATTATGGTAGAAGTCGGTGTGGAAATGTGAGGGGATGAGGGGGCATCTGGGCACACTTTAAGACAGCATCCCCGTGTGGAGTCAAATATTCCTCCACAGCCTGGCTTTACATGGAACCTGATTGGTTACCAAGGAGAAAGAGAAGAGGGGGGCGCCCATGTTCCCATGTTCCCTCACTGCTTGTATAAGAGTCCTTGAAAGTGGCAGAAATAGATGAATGTTCTCATGGGATACCTTCATCTAGAGGGGAGGAACTCGTTCAGGGGACCTCCAAATGTGGGCCAGTCTCTCACGCCTTTTGTTTCGCACCTTCAGACTTTTGCTCACGTTGCCCTCCTTGCTGGGAATATCTTTCCTCCACTCTCCCTTTATCCTTCAAGCCTCAGGCATTTTCTGCTGTAGGACGACTCCTCCATTCCACACACAGCTGGCCTCCCACATGCTCTTTCTATGAGCTCCCATAGCAACCTGCCCCTCACTGTATCACCGTCTGTGCCTCTCTGTGTTAGATCATCTGTTCATGTGTTCACCTTCTCTAATAGCTTGCGGGCTTACTCATCTTTATTTCCCCCAACAGGTTGCTTGGCCTTTAGCAGATAGTCAGTAAATGTTTACTGAATACATGAGTTAAGAGGAGGTTTAGAAATCAAATAAGTTGAAAGCTAACCTATGGAACCTTACTGCAGTCTTGTGACTAGTCTTCTCCAGACATTCAAATTCCCTATTTACCATTTCTGGCTATGCAGAAGCAATCTGCCTAAAGACTGGGACAAGGCTGAGCAATTAATTTTTGTTAATGATATGATAATAACTAGCATATACTGAGTGATTACTATGCCCCAGGCTCTGTTCTAAGCACACTGCATATATTAATCATTTAACCCTTGTAACAATCCTTATAAGGTAATCATTCCTGTTTTATAGATGAGGAAACAGAGAGGTGAAGTAACAGGCCAAGGACATACAGCCAGTAAGTGGCAGATATGGCTCCAGAATCTCAACTGCTGTGCTCTGCAGTCTCTCAGTGACAAAGACAGGGGCGGGTTGAACATAAACAACTCAGGCTGATTGTGAGTTTGAAAGGTGGTCCTAGGTCACAGGAAACAATACATATTCCTTTTTACTTTTTTATCTGTCATCCTGTGACATAATTATGCTCACATTCTTCACCTAACACATGGACACCTCCATACCAAGTGTTTTTACCCTTTTCTGAATGAACAGGGCTTCAACTGTGAGTGAGCTGGAAAGTGTATCATGACTCCAGCAATAATGCATTCCTGATGAAATGCAGAGTAGCTTGGACTCTAAATGAGATAACACCTAAATTCATGCAGCCTGGAAGGGACAGAGCAAACATGTTACTTTTCTTCCCAGGACAAATCTCTGTAGGGATGAATGTTTCCTTTAAGCTCTTAACTTGGTCAGAAAAGTAGATCTTCTTGGGGGAACTTATTTATGATCCTGGGAAGTAGGATGATTCCCTGTTAAAATTAGCAAATTTGTGTTGGATTCACAGAGTGACTCTATTGAGATCTGTCTTGGTTTGTTTGGGCTACTATAACAAAATACCATAAACTGAGTAGCATATAAACAACAACAGAAACATCTCCCACTGTTCTGGAGACTGGGAAGCCCAAGATCAAGGCGCCAGCAGGCTCTGTGTCTGTGGATGGTCAACTTCCTGGTTCCTTCCAAGGCGTCCTCTTGCTTCTTCCTCCAGATGGTGAAAGGGCAAGGGAGCTCTCTGGGGCCTCTTTTATAAGGGCACTGATCCCATTCATGACGGCTCCACCCTCATGACCTAATCACCTCTGAAATGTCCCACCTCCTAATATCAATGCACTGGTGATTAGGTTCTCAACATAGGAATTTGGGAGGGACACAAACATTCAGACCATAGCAGGATCTGAGCTCATTATACAGTGAGAACAAAGTGAAAAGGAAGAACTTATCCAGAAGGCTTTGAAATTTAGTTATATTCATGAAAAGTCATAATATTAAATAAGAGAATTACCAAGAGGAATTTATGAATAGAGGTATCTCAGAAAATGCTCAGGCTTCCCCAGGGGGACTGCATGAAGACTCCAGTTTTGCAGGGCTTGAAAATCAACTGAGCACACATATTTTTAAAGAACTCCATGGGGATTTTGAACATTGCTACATATTTTCACTATTTCGATATCCACTGTCATGAAAAAAAAGGGGGGGAAGGTATTTATAGTTATCAGAGCAAGGATTTTTGACTGATATATATATATATGCTTTGAAAAATTCAAGGGATGTAGAATTCTGGAATAGGCTTTATCGGAGAAAGAGGGAAGATAGATTTCTCTTTCTAGATGTCTTTAGGAATGGGAGTTGTATCTTATAATTTAGGAGTTCAGCTTGGAGGTGAAGTGCTTGACTAGAATTTTAATAAGCTATATCCATTCTGTGAAAAGATTAGTCACTGAACTTATTAATATAATTGTGACAAGAATGGCCAGAAGCAGCAAGAATCAGAAAAAGAGTACCAAAAAAATGGGGGGTGGGGGAGGGGGGCTTCCTTTAAAAACTAAGATGTAACTTGCCTAAGTGAAAATACAACCTAGATATACAACTTACTAAAAGAAAGTGAGCCAAGATGTCGGGTACCATTAAAGCTTTATTAAAGAAAGAAATCTGCTGGGCTGTGCTCAAAATGAAGGACAGCCCAGGGCTGCCCTGAAAATGGGGGACAGCCCCAACAATGGGTTTGGGAGAGTTTATATGAGCTGTTGGGCATGAAATGTACTGGGGGGAGGGACCATTAGGTTGATGTAACTGGGTGGAGAACTTCGCCGATGCAGAAGCCGGAAAGTTGTTTCTAAGTCAGGAGGCTTCTGTAAAGGGAAGGGGCAGGGGCTTAGTGCTGGAGTGGAAGACCAGGCCACGGCTATTTCGTGCTGGTGCTTATTGTGTGCACAATGGTGCCAGCCACGTCCAAAATCCATCAGTAAGTGTTATTCTACTTGACCACAGTGGATTTTTGCAAATAGTTTAAAAAGTAGATGGCTCCAAGATAGACATTTGACAAATAGCTGTGCTCAGTTTTTTAAATAGTTTTAGATTTACAGAAGTTACAAAGATAATAGAGTTCCCATATACCCTTCACCCATCTTCCCCTAATTTTAACACCTTTCATGGCCAATATACAGTAATCAAAACTAGGACATTAACATTGCTATAACTAAACTACAGACTTTGTTTACAACTTTAAGCAGGAAAACACAACATTGGGATCTGGGTGAATTTTTTTCCCCATTTTATTACATTTCTCTCCTGCTAAGTGTTGCAATTGTAAATGAATTTAACAGTCCTCCTTTATTTTCAATTTTCATAAGGTAAGATTGTATGTGTGCATGAAATGTGTTTCACTACGGTCCTACACTTAATATTAAAATTATAAAGTAAAATAATGAGGTAAAAGATATTTATTGACACTGACCAAAACATACACAAGTATTTCTGAAAAACAAGATGAAAACATTTCCTGGTTTATTTTCTCACGTGGAGATGCACATTACTCTGAAGGTAGGATGTGCCAGTTTTCCTTTGTGGAAAAGCATATCCAGGAAGAAAGCATCACCAACAGTGAGCAGTTTCTGTCCTTAAAGAATGGTAGTGAAGAGCTCCTTTGCATGGGTGGTGGCCGTGGGTGCTCCAGGTGCCAGCAGGGACAGGCCACCTGACAGAAGTGAGAGCTCTCAAAGAGTTTCACCATTTACACCAAAGTGGACTGGCTGGAAGCTCCCGCCTCTGGGCTATGTTGAAAGATGATGCTGAACTGTGTCTTGAAACCCCACCAGCATTAGGAACAAGAAAGTGTGTCTGCAAAGAACTTGGTCCAGGTCCTAAGCGTGTCCAGACTGTTTCCCCAGCAGAGTGGTCACCAGGTCAGACAGGTGCCCAGGCAGCATGAATGGTGACTATAACCGATCACCACCTTTGGTGCTCCAAAGAGCAATTAGCACATAAAAACTAGCCAGGAAAAGGCCTTCCCATGTCCTCCTCTGCGTTTTTGGGCACTAAGACCTTTCTTGATTAGCAACTGCTGCAACTGTGAAAGTCCACCCCTTGTGAATATCACTCTTTCAATCCAAATTGCTCCATCTAGATCTTACAAGGCATTTTGAAATACAGATGATCTGGTAGAAAATGCAGTATGGAATTTTATTCCAGAATCAAAACAACTTTTAAAACATTTCTGCTTATTCAAGTTAGTTTCCCCTGCAGAAATCTGAAATTAGGTGTGATAAGTTAAAGATTATACAAACAGAGCTGCTTTCAATAATTTAATAATTAGACTCATGCCAAAAAAATGAACTTGCATGAAATATTAAACATTATTCTTAAAGCAATTTGGACACAGACAATCACACACATAAGGAATGGGAAAAAAAAGGAGTTTCTCCCAAAAGTGCCAGTGTTTCTGTTTTGTTTGGAAAAATCATGACGATGCAATTAGAGGTAAACAATATTTTCTTCAGTTCCGTCTCCAGTTTCCCCATCTTGTCTCGTCACTGTCTGTAGATTGAGCTTTGTTTCTGCCATAATTGTCTGCAGCTGAGGGCAGTGTGCATTTGAGACGTGGGGGGTTGGGGACTCAGTCTGGGAGGTGTCCAAATCTGCAACAAACAGACAGTACAGGTTACAGGAGAGTCAGCTTGGGACCCACAAGGCAGATGCCTCAGAGGGTCAGAGCTCTCTAAGATGAGGAAATGCAGTGCCTGTACAGTCGGCCACAGAGAGAACAGCCTAGCCTGGGGAGAGGGGAACATGATGGACATGTAACAATGGACATGTAACCTCATGTAACAATTTCATCAATATCATTTAGATGTGTTTGACTGTGTGCACAAATGTTCCCTGTGGCCAAAAATTACCTTTACAAAACTACTCCTAGGGAAGTGTCAAGTGGATAAAGACCGGTTACCACTCACAGGGTGCTAAATCACTGCTACCTCTGAGAAACAGGTGCCCGTTTATCTTTAAAAACGGGTCAAGGCCTTGGATATACAGCATATACTCCAGCTGTGTGTAATAAACCATGTTTGCATCTGCAGAGCACCTTCCTGCAGAATATCTCAAAGTCAAGAATTGACCTCCAGACTCAAATAATGTATCTGAGGCTTTACTAATATGGGTAGGGGGTGGGGAGAAAACAGTTGAATGAAGAGTAAAGGAGACCCTCACCATTATGCGAATCTGTTAACACTACACAAAGTACGTGGTAGCACAGGTAGCCAGGTTCCTAGGGAAAATCATGCCAATATCAACTAGGACTGGGTTTATTTTTTTCTGGTTACTTAGCAACAGCAGGGCATTGTGTACTCCCCCTTTTTCTGGTAAAACCATCTAATATTATGATTTAAAGGGGAGATGGGGGGCGTTGATTTGAAGAAAGAAAGACACTTGCTGCAAACCATTTTCTCAGCGCTTGCTGTAGACCATTTTCCCAGCACTTGCTTCACTGACCACCCTCCCTAAGGCTCAGATGTATGGCAAAATTATAAACCAGCTTCTGTTGGAACAACATGCAGAAGAGGCATGGAAATCCAGGTGGGAGGCAGGCCCACCTGCTCTTTCTTCAGTGATTAACAAGAGGCCCTTACAGCCTCTGCCACATTTTATTCAAAGCCTCTATTATTTAGATGGATATACATACCAGCTGGCATTCTAATGACAAAAATCCTTATGACTTCTGCCCTCCCCTCCCGACAAGGATCTTCGGTTCCTAGAGAAGGTAGAAAGCAAGGCTTGGCAGGAATGAAGGGCAAAGTGTCCCCATAAGCCTCCACCTTTGGGGAGGTGGTGGCCTCTGCTAAACCTCATTCCATCCCTTCTCCCACTAAGAGGCAGGGTCTATGGGGGAGGAGAAGTCAGGAAGCAGACAAAGGTCACCTGGAGGAGGAGGCCAAGAGCTGAACTGTGCCTCTGAAGCAGGGAAAGGTGATGGGGGATGGGGGTGGGGGTGCTAAACTCCACTGCTCTGCTCAAAGGTTTAGGCCATACCTGACCCTCCAGATGTTGATAGAAAATGAGAGAGAGAGAGACAGAGAGAGAGAAAAAGAGGCAAAAGCATAAGCAAAAAAAGACATCCTGAGCCTCTCAAAACTGACACAGCAGTTACTATGGAACTAGAAATCTGTCATTTAATCAGGCAAACACAAATACCTCCAGGCAGTGATTTCACTATCAGGGCAAGACTACACATTGACCTAGACTGCTTTGCTATTTTACCACATTGGGAGACAAAGTATGCCGGTCTGTGGTCACAACACACATTCACAATTTCAGTTCCTTTTTCCAGCCACTGAATGAAGCCCGACCTAGACTGCTTTGCTATTTTACCACATTGGGAGACAAAGTATGCTGGTCTGTGGTCACAACACACATTCACAATTTCAGTTCCTTTTTCCAGCCACTGAATGAAGCCATCTCACCTCTAAACATAAATATTCCCAGTTTAACTGCTGATATTTAATATTATACAATTTAAAAAAAAAAAAAACTCAAAATTTCCATCTAGCAGATACTGGCAGATTGAACAGGTCACCTAATCCACTACAGTGCCACCTCCTTGTCAACAGAAGGTCCAGCCGGGGCACAAGAAATACTACATTGAGAATGAAAAATCACCCCTTGAATGAGGTGGCTGGGAGGTGACTGCTGACAAATGTAGCAATGCCAAGCCCACTGGAAGCCCTTAACCCATGTACTTTTCCTTCCGCTGGCGTGTGAAACATGTAGCAAAGAATCCAAAACACTGGTGCGTGCAGGTATCTGGGAAGTTCCCTTAACAGCTTCAAGAGAAGACTTGTCTAAAAAGAACCATAAAATCAAATGTATATCAGAAAGAATTCTTTTACCTGAAGTTAAATTGTAGGCTCTAGTTCAGTAAGATAGAGAACCAAGGATGAAATCAGAATTTTCTCAAATAAGAATAAAAATACAGGAAAAAAAATATTTCTAGTGACAGCTTGCAGGGCCTTAAGGTGAATGTCCTGAGTTGTAATTCCAAAGGTATCGCTGGCCCTTGTGACTGTGTGTCACCTGGATGGGAACTCAATTTCCTCCTCCATGTTCCTTCTCGGTTTCTACCTGAACTATGCAGGCAAGGTCAGACCGTCTGTCTTTGAAATTAGAAACCATTGTGTGATGTCTGATTTTATTACTCCATTTCAACTCTGAAAGAACTCCAGCACACAATTGTATATTTCTCAAGCCCACCACCTTTTTCCATGCTTTTTATCCTAGAGAGTATGGTCATCATATAGAATTCTAAACTGAAAAAAAAATGTTAAAATGAAACTTCACTGATTTGGAAAGCAGAATTCTTTTTTTTTTTTTTTTTAAAGATGACCGGTAAGGGGATCTTAACCCTCGACTTGGTGTTGTCAGCACCACGCTCAGCCAGTGAGCGAACCGGCCATCCCTATATGGGATCCGAACCCGTGGCTTTGGTGTTATCAGCACCGCACTCTACCGAGTGAGCCACAGGCCGGCCCTGGAAAGCAGAATTCTTGAGGAGTAAAATTAATCATCCAATTTCAGTGTGATCAAAATGCCTGTAAATTGATGGACATAAAAATAGAATATTTTATTTTTAATAAGCAAAGAAATAGTAATACAATCATAATTTGGTCAGCTAAAAACCAAATACTATTATAATGAAACAAAACTTCAAACTAAAAAGTACCTTTCAACCAAGTGTCTCAATACAATTTTCCATCTTGACATAAAGAAATAATTTGATCCTTACCATATCTCTGGAAACCAAACAGAGTGAGCATTATTAACCTTAAAATAAGGACAAATAAAGTGAAACACATAAAAGCTCCAAAGCCTGGGTAATCCAATTGGGAAAGCAGAATTTCGGTTCAGGGTTTTTCTGCTTCATAACTTAGCTTTTGTTCACACATTAAAATTTCAGGCTCCACAAGAAATTTCCATACTCACATTATGAGGACCACTGTGGGATCTAAGTTAGTCTCCTAATGCAGTTTTAGGAAATTCTAAGTATCAACATTTTGGCTGGGACCGGTTCCCGCTCACTGGCTGAGCGAGGCGCGGGAGCAGCACCGAGGGTTGCAATCCTGTGGCCGGTCCCCGGTCCGGAACGGGGGCAACACTGAGGGTTGCGATCCGTTGCCGGACATGGAAAAAAGACAAAAAAAAAAAAAACATTTTGGCTGGCACCGCTCCTTTTTCTTGTGGGCATGTGGGGCAGAAAATCCCATGCTACCAAGGGACACACTGATATCCAGAGGCTGGTCCCTAAATCTCTCAATCTTTAGCCCTTAGTTGCAACATTCTCACCCAATATTGGAATTTATAATCAATGCTGAAGAGAATGAGCCTTCCCTCCATCTACTCACCATTATGATATCCTCTTGAGCCACCTGGACAGTTGGTTATTTTCAAGGCCAAACTGTAAACTCAGAGTGTAAAATGCAACTATTTGTCATATTTTAAATGAATAAAGTGTCCCCTAAACTATGAAGTGAATGAAATCTTTTAAACCACAGATAAAATGTAACTTTGGGCAAGTCATTGCCCCTCTCTGCACTTCATGAAGTTCATAAAGGATTGAACTGAAATCATTAAGGCCTCCCAAACTTCTAACATTGTATGAGAATTTTTACATTTGTCCTGGAGTCCATACCAGCCAGCTGTCAAAAATAAACAAACAAAAAAACAACAATAACAACAAAAAGACACACTGAGATATCATCTCACCCCAGTTAGACTGGCCATTAAAAAGACCAAGAACACAATCAGCCGTGTATCTCATGAATATTCATAATAAATAAATAAATAAACAAATGAACAAATAAATAAATAAAATCTTAAAAAGAACAAAAAAATAAATAAAAAGACCAAGAACAACAAATGATGGCGAGTATGCGGGGAAAGGGGAGTCCTCCTACACTGTTGGTGGGACTGTAAATTGGTGCAGGCATTATGGAAAATGGTATGGAGGTTCCTCAAACAACCACAGACAGACCTACCACATGATCCAGCAATCCCACTGCTGGGCATATATCCAAACGAATGAAAATCCTCACATGGAAGGGATACCTGCACTCCCATGTTTACTGCAGCTCTGTTCATAATAGCCAAGATATGGAACCAACCTAAGTGTCCATCAATGGATGACTAGATAAGGAAATGTGGTATATATACACAATGGAACACTACTCTGCTATAAAAAAGAATGAAGTTCTGCCATTTGCAGCAACATGGATTAGTCTGGAGAAAATTACGTTAAGTGAACTAAGCCAGACACAGAAACAGAAATACTGAATGTTCTCACTCATAACTGGCTGCTAACAAGGAAGGAAGAAAGGAAAGAAGGATGGAGGGAGGGAAGAAAGAAAGGAAGAAAGGAAGAAAGAAAAGACCAAAACAATATGTTGGACTTTTAGGCGGGGAAAACACACCTAAGGATACTAGAGACGGGGGGAGGGTGGGTGGGGGTTTGGGGAGGGATAAGTTAGGTAAAGGGCATAAAGAAAAATCATAATTTCTAATAAGGAATGTGCTTATAAATAATAATAATAATAAAACATTTGTTCAAAAGTAAAAATAAATATAAAAATAATTTAGGATTTTAAAAAAATTT